CCAGTCGAGTAACGTAATAAAAAGGAAATAAATGATGCGTTTGCTTAAGAATGGCAGCCAGCGAAATGGGAGCTCTTTCTTGTACCAACAATGTGTAAGGCTATCTCCTCAATCTCTCTCCATGTCCCATGCCCTATTTTTCTTCTTCGTTTCTTTTTTTCTCTCTCTACCTTCGGTCTCACTTCCCCTCTTCTCTCCCTCTCCCTCTCCTACTCCCCTTCTGTTTCTCCTTCCCCTTCCCCTTCCCCTTCCCCTTCCCCCCCCCTTCTTCTTCTTCTTCTTCTTCTTCTTCTTCTTCTTCTTCTTCTTCTTCTTCTTCTTCTTCTTCTTCTTCTCCTTCTCCTTCTCCTTCTCCTTCTCCTTCTCCTCCTCCTCCTCCTCCTCCTCCTCTTTCCCCTCCCTTGTGCATCATTCTATTTCTAAAGTTCAGTGGCACTAAAGATGAACTTATTCTGCCGAACCCTTTGTTTCTCCTGCACACTCATTTGCCGGTTTCCAGTACTAGGTGTGGCGGACTACTGAAAACGTCATCCTCGACTTTTAACCGTTATTTTTTTTTTTTTTTTCATTTAGTCCATAATTGGAACTGACATATATGGGACATGAAAACATAGATGCACAAACGTACATGCGTATACACACGCTGACATACGCAGACATAGATAGACGGAACGAGAGAGAGAGAGAGAGAGAGAGAGAGAGAGAGAGAGAGAGAGAGAGAGAGAGAGAGAGAGAGAGAGAGAGAGAGAAAGAGTAGAGACAGAGAAACAGGGAAGAGGAAATTAGAGAGAGAAAATGAGACTAAGAGGAAGAACAAAAAAAAAAAACAGAACCATGGAAAGGGGGAGAAAGAATATTTCTAAGAATCCACACACACACACACATGCAATTTGACATCATTACGTTTTTGCCGCATTTCAGACGACCACTTCCGCGGCACAAGCGCTCCATCGGGATTATAAGCCTTAAATCCCCAGCCATTGGCCTTCCAACCAGGGAGAATATTGGACTAACTGTTCCCAACCCCCGGCCTCCGAGATCCCCGCAAAACACAGTGCACACACGTTACAATAGATTGGCGTTCATTTTCACCTGGTAATATATCTGCTCTTGCTCCACTGGTCTAGATTTATCATCATGCTTGCTATCATCATTTTATCTCAACTTCGGCTTCGCACTATCTTGCCAGGGAGGCGCGGGTCAGCCCTCTAAAGTCGACCTTCTGCCTCTCTCGTTCGCGCTGGCCTGCTTCTCCTGTTCCTTCGGCGTCTTGTAACTGCCTGTGTTTTGACTTACGAAGGGGAGATGGGAAGGGGGATAGGAGAGGGAGGCGGGTGAGAAAGAAAAAGAGGGTGGGTAGGAGAGGGAGGCGGATGAGAATAAGAAAGAAAGAGAGGGTGGATAAGAGAAGGAGGTGGGTGAGATAGAGAGAGAAAGAGAGGATGGGAGAATCGGAGAAGGAAGGGGAAGAAGAGGATTTGTACAGAATACTGAGTGAAATTGGGAACAATGATGTGGCGTCTGATGAGACGGGATGGGGGGGGGAGGTAAAGGGGAGGAAGAGCGAGGCTAAAAGGAAAACAGAAAAGTATCAAGGGAAGCAACAGTTTTCCGCGAGTCTCCCCCTCAATACCGCGCCCCTACCTCTCCCCTCTCCCCCTCCCTTTCAAATTATGTCATTCTCTTTAACTTTAAATTCCTATGACCCTCTCTCCTACCCTCCCCACGCTCTCCTCTCCCTGTTCACATCTCCCCCCGTTCCTAAAATACCCCCCCCCCCCGATCCTCCCTTCCTTCCCCAACCTCATCATCTGCCATAGCTTCCCCACCATCCCCTCCTTTTTTTTAAATTACCCCACATCCCCTTCCTTCCCCACCCATTCCCATACCTCCCCCCATCATTTTTTAAAACTACCCCCACCTCCTCCCCACACTTCCCTACACCTCCTTCTCCCTCCTTCCCCGCTCCTCCTCCTCCCTCCTTCCCCTCTCCTCCTCCTCCTCCTCCCTCCTTCCCCTCTCCTCCTCCTCCTCCTCCCTCCTTCCCCTCTCCTCCTCCTCCTCCTCCCTCCTTCCCCTCTCCTCCTCCTCCTCCTCCCTCCTTCCCCTCTCCTCCCCCTCCCTCCTTCCCCTCTCCTCCTCCTCCTCCCTCCTTCCCCTCTCCTCCCCCTCCTCCCTCCTTCCCCTCTCCTCCTCCTCCTCCTCCCTCCTTCCCCTCTCCTCCCTCCTTCCCCTCTCCTTCTCCCCATACGGGTCGGAGCGCGCGCCTGACCCCCGGCCGCCGCGGGTTCCAGGAAAGGTTGACGGCGACTTGACCCGGACCCTGACCGTCGCCATTTACAGCTCGACTTGCCGGAGAAAAATCACATGTTAGGATCCACTCATTACCGACGTACATGTGCGCTGCCGGTCTGGCCAGTGCCACCGCATTCGTCTTTTTCTTCTTACCTTTTTTTTTTCTTTTTGGAAGGGTTTATTTCTCTTTTTCTCTTTTTCTCTTTCTCTCTCTCTCTCTCTCTCTCTCTCTCTCTCTCTCTCTCTCTCTCTCTCTCTCTCTCTCTCTCTCTCTCTCTCTCTCTCTCTCCATTTCTTATATTTCAATCTCTCTTTGCCTCTCTTCTCTCATTATCTCTATTTCAC